TCTAAGTACTATTGCTACTGAGAATCCATTGTTGCAGAACACAGCATCCTAAATTTCTTTGAAACTAATATCTTTCTTGGTATTTGACATCTTTTGGTCTTGGATAGCAATTCCAAATACCCTATAAATAATGTTTGAGAGTATTCCATTAGATTTATTAAGTGCTGCTCAGCTTTTAGTTGTTACAGTGGCTTTAAAGTGAGGAGCAGATTGTCCCTTGGAGTATTGCACTTTGGATGTTGAAATTTAGCCAGGGAATTTGTTGGACAGCCTTCAACACCTTCCTTTCGTTCAGCCTGATCTATCTCATAGGGTTGTTGTTATGAGAATAAAATATGAGGACCTCATACGTGCCATGCACCCAGGACTTAAACAAGAGGCAGGGTGAGCAAGAGAAAAGTATATTGAACTATCTGAACTTACATCCCATGCCGTATAAATTTACCTTGAGGAACACTAGGTAGTTCCAAACTACTAGGCCTGAAATGTGCTTCTATCAAGCTCACTGATGTCTCTAGTGCAGTTTCTAGCAACTGGTGCTCTAGGCCAGGGATCGCCAACCTTTTGGACCTCAGGGACCACCAAACTCATAATTTTAAATCCCACGGACTAGAGACCTTGGGAAAATCCCCAAAAAAGTCTGCAGGAAAATTCCCCACCCCGTTTTTCTACCGATTGATCATTCTTTATTTGGGATCACAGGATACCGTCTCCAGCTCCATTCTCAGGAGGGGGAAGAGAGGGAGAGAGGGAGGGTGGGAGGGAGGGAGGAAGGGAGAAAGAGAGAGAGAGACTTTTGGCTTCATGCAAGGAAAGCAGCAGAAGCAGCAGAAGACTTTCTTTCTCTCCCCCAAACTCCACCAGAAATGAGTCTTTGCCAGCACAGCCTCTTGGAGCAGGATGCCTTACAGGGCCCCAAAGACTCATTTCTGGTGGAGTTTGTTCGCAATGCAAGCGACGCAAGCCTTGTATTCCTGCAGGCCATGTGGGCAGCGCAACCTTGTGTTCCCCTGCAGCCTGGATTAATTGCTTTGGGGGGGGTGCTTTTGGGGTGACATTTCTCTGCAGACCACCAAAATTTTCTCACAGACCACCAGTGGTCTTTAGGCAGACCATGCAGTTGGTTCCCCACTCTCAAACCCTAAGGATAGATTTGATTTTTTTTCCCCCATGAAATTGAGCTCTCTATTTTACTTCACACTATATGGTGTATTGTCTCCATAGCCTGGATGGATGCGCCAACCCTGTGTACATTGTATCTTCTAGGAAATGACTGACAGACCCTGGACCTGATTGTCCATGATCCCATTCTACTGATATTATCACTGTTTTCTATTCGGATTGAAAAGACACAGACTTTATTTTGAAATTATTTGTTACAGCCAACATTTCTCGTCTTGCCTTCAATCAAAAGTCTGCTTTAAAACTGTGGTCTATAAATATACATATAGAGAATTAAAACAGGACAACTCCTAAAGGTAAACCTTTTGTACAGAATTCTCATAGCCACAACTAATTCAAATCTTGTACAATTATGATCACATGGCTTTCTATTCAGAATGAGACCGAACACACCACAGCCACTGAGAATAATATAATAATGAACTAGAGAAGTTTGTATAATTATCATGTTTTGACATAAATTGGAATCCCAACCCCATACCCACTTTAAGAGACAAAACATGCCTAAATATTTCCATTTTTAGATGCACGGGGAGAATTTAGCTCAATATATTCTGTGCAGTGAAGTTAGGAAAAATGATACATAACTTTTTAATTCTCATGATGTTGCTGAGATTTAACCCTAATCTTTAGCCGTGCATAATATATTTATCCTGTTAATGTGGAAGCTACATTGATAAGTTACGTTTTTACCACAGTTCTAACAAACGTATTGAACCTTCATTTCATTTCAAGTCAACAGGGATATCATAGAGCAGGGGTGTCCAACCTTGGTAACGTTAAGCCTGGAGGACTTCAACTTTGAAGTCCTCCAGGCTTAACGTTACCAAGGTTGGACACCCCTGTCATAGAGCCATGTAAGGAGGCTGCTGGGTTAAACTTACTGACAAGCTCCTTCAGACTTCAGGATAGAGTAGCCTATGAAAAATCTCCCCCCCCCCCCCCAAATCTTAATGATTTGTTAGTAGGATGGATGAGCTCTCCAAAATGGACCCTGAAAATAATCACATCATCACCTCAGAATTTCACAAGGTTCAATCTCTCGTTTTGCAATCTTTTTTTTCCAGAGAAGAAGATAACTAAAGCATTGTAGAGTAGTTATTCTGTGGTATTTCCTTTCAACTTGACTTTTCTTAAAAGGCCAGACAGTTTGCTAATCCTTCTAGCTTAGGGGAACAGATGTTGTTTGTTGAGCAGTTCAAGAGAACTGGAAATGATGATCTGGCTTGTGAAATGTTCTGGCACATCTTTTTTGAACTTATTTAACAGGCCAAATCTACATTTGTTAAATTATTAAATCCTCATTCAATTGAGAGGATTCTAAGAAGAGAGATGCAAGATCCAGCGCTATTAAGATCTGGGTCACTATTGGTAGCTGGATTGGCTGCCTAAGTGTTAAAGGCTGGCACTTAGCCATTGGAAAATGGAATATTATGGGGAAGGAATGAGGCAATTGAGGCCTAATGAAATAAGAAGAGGATGCTGATGGTGTAGAAGGATAGAGTAAAAAAATAAATAAATAAGGGAAGCAAAGCACTTGGATCCCCTTCCTCCCTATTTTTCTTTTCTTTTGCTGCTCTGGATGCAGAGAAAAACTAAACCACATAAACAGTATTTGGGCCCAATTCTGTTTGACCATCTTTTGCATGAGCTCCACTACATTATATGAGGGGCATGGTAGTAATTATGGCCTGTCACCTCTTTTGATAAAAATAAAATATTACAACCATTTGCGTCTCTGAGGGGGAAAAACTCAGAAAAAAAATTACGTTAGACAGAAATTTAAATCAGCCTCTAGTTGGATGATGTTAGACAACTTGTCAACTTGAAGCTGACTTCTGTGCACATCCTGCCATGACATGAAATCGCCATGGCCATCAGGCACAACCACCACAGCCAATGGCAATGAGCAAACAGCATTGAAAGATTTAGTTACTCTCTCACTCAGAGGTGGGATTCAATTTTTTTAACAACCGGTTCTGTGGGCGTGGCTTAGTTGGTGGGCATGGCTTGGTGGTCATGTGACTGGCTGGGCGTGGCCAACTCAACATCACTCACATCAAGGCACGCATCTCCTTGCCTGGCCTCTCATGACTGTGGGGATGCTGCAACAGTCGTAAGTGTGAAAAATGGTCATAAATCACTTTTTTTAGTGCCATTGTAACTTTGAATGGTCACTCCACACAAGCAAAGTACCAGCAAAGGAAGGGAAAAAAAACTCCAGAGACATTCCTGAGACAGGAAGTCTAGTCCTGCCAAGAATGTAATAAGGGTTAACGGAGAGGCAGTTTCTGTAAGCAACACCAGAATGTTTCCTTCCTGCCTTCCTTACAGGATTAGGCCAGTAATTTCTTCTAACAACCGGTTCTCCAAACTGCTTAGAATGTTAACAACTGGTTCTAGCGAATAGGTGCAAACCGGTAGAATCCCATCCCTGCTCTCACCTATATTGAATGGTTGACTGGTATTTTTCAAAGTAGAGGTTTTGGCTGTAAACTGATTTTTAGACTAATACAATTGGTCTATTTTTTTTTTTAAATGCATTTTTTCAACTCTATCTGGATGCCTTTCCTATTCATGTCACTGCAGACTAAATACCTTGGCCTTATTAGTACATACATTACAAGAAGATTTAAATCTTGTGGTTAAAGTGTATGGTAAAATAATACTTTGGGAAGTGTGCTATACCGACAAAGGTTCTGCTTAAGGTTCAGCTTAAATATTTTAATCTTCATAAGAAGATTTCAGGGAGGTTATTTAAAGCTGTGCATGGGCACTGTGATTTGTGCAGGGCCATTATAAAAATATAACACTTATAAATTTAATACAGAAAAGAAATAGATAAGAGAGGTAACAAAAAGTCTGTGTTGTTAAACAAGCCATACTGTTTGGGCAGGTCCGCTGATTTATTCTCAGTCTTACTTACTTCCCTAAATATTTCAGTAACAGCCATTTAGCACAGGATCTGAATTTATGTTACATCCTTAGCACTGCAGAATGGATCCAAGAATGATTCTCTATTCTGTATATAATGATAGATAGAACTTTCACAACCTGAAATCCCCTAAACTGTGTATATTCCACAGGAAGCTTAAAATGTGATTTTACTGACTTATTAAATCTGCAAAAATAGAAGATTTAATCAAGCAATGGACAAATTTTAGTGGAATGCATTTAGTTTGATGGGTGTCAAATTGTCCAGATCTACATTTTTCAGCTTCTATGAAGAGACTTTTTATTTAAAAATGGATATTGTAACTGTTTCATTATTGTAGGATATCAATTGTCTGCTAGCTACACATAGAGGCTTGATTTTTCCTTCACTAATACATGTCGCATCCTCCTTTATTTTGTCGATGATACTGTGAAGTTACTGGTTAACTTGTGATTGCTAATCCATAGCAATAACATACATTTGTCACATGGATTGGAAACTATGTGCACATTGTGTATCTGATTACTAACTTGCCAACTGAACAATGTTTTTAGGCTACCCAGGTCTGAATTCTTGTTTTTAGGATAGGTGGTAAGATTCCTAAGATCTCAATATCTGAGTGATCCTTAACTCTACAAACTTGACATCAAAGGCAGACAGAAGGTCTTACAAACAATTTGGTCTTTTCCATAGAAATAGTTGGTGTCATACTCTTGGTTAGGGTATTATCTAAGCCAATTTCATGCCAGCCACATTGAGTAGTAGAGATAAAAAGAAAGATAAGGAAATAAAATAAAGACCAAAACAATACAGCATGGTTGCTATGTTTAACAACACAGACTTTGAGTTTTCAAAGCCTGGAATAAATACAAAGCAAGGCAACTATCCATATAAATAACACATATTGATAACTAGTATTTGGAGGAAGCAATGACCCTACGCTGGTGTACCAATGCCTTGCACAGCTCGCCACATTGCTATTTTACTAACTCTTCATATAAGTTGGATCGCACAAATCTGGGCAGGGAATCCTTCTCCATCAGCATGAAAATTCTCTTCTGGGCCAGGTCAAAAGTGCTTACAGATGGTTCCACCATGTTCTTCATGGTCACTGACTTGGTAAAATGGTCAATATTCACCTGACAAGAGGGAGAAAGAGTAGATAGCTATAGGAATCACATAGGACACATTATCTCACATAAATATAGCCAACAATATACTTTACATGGGGTATTTGCCAAAATGCCTCCCTGATGGGAAAAAAATGAAGCTAATAGCAATTCCATATGTGAAGCTAATAGCTAATAAATATCCCTAAATAAAGTACAGTTGAAATAAATATACATTTGATATTTATAACAAGAAGTCAAAAAAAGAAACATTTGATTCACATAAATAGATTTTTTATTAGAAATGTTAGAAATATGAAGCTAACTGTCATCAAATCAAGCTATAGGGATTATGATACACCCAACAGTGGTGCAAAATAATACCCTTCCTCCACTAATGCATAATGTCAGCACCAGTGCTTTGTGATAATAATCTATCAATTGTGTTTTAATCTTAAATTAGGAGATGCCACTTTAAAAATAGCACTCTACTGCCATTTTGTGTTTCAGTTCAGAGGACAATGTATAACCTCACTAATGAAGTTCTTGCCTTCCAGCACATGGACTCTCTTTGTAGAATGTGTTGGTGTGCCTTATATGAGGACTGGGTCACTTTTCAGTGCATTTGTCTATCTTCTAATTTTTAATGACCAATCTTCCATTGCACAACTTCCTTGTGTTTGTCTCTGATGTCTGTTTAGTAACATTCACAAATACAGTCTTTGTTCAGTATAGTGTAGAGCTGAGAGAAACCAGCAATTTCTTCTCTGATAAGGGAAGGGATATGTGTTTAGGTGTGCACCCAATGGAACCTAATCATGAGGTGTGTCCTGGCTTTAAGAAATTAATTTCCTAATTCTTAACAAAAGCCAGGATTTTATCTCCATTCAGCTAATGGCAAACAGCTAACCTCTTTAGGAGCCTCGCTTTGGATAAACTCTTCATAGATCTTTTTGGCCTTTTCAGCCATTTTGGTAGGCAGTTTGGTCTTCTTATAATCTTCACATGCAATCCAGAATTCAATGTTCTCTTCACTGAATTCAGATTGGAGGAAAGTCCGGAAGCTGGCAAGGCCATCTGCACAGAGGGAAAAATGATTTTTTAAAATGTCAACTACAATTGTGGAATAGCACATTTTTTTGTCAAACTATACAGTAGTTTCCTAACTAATCCTTTATTGCGCCACAGTCCTTGGTAGCTTTTTCTTTGATCAAATACTTACAAGATTGTTTGTGGTACTGGAACAGTATCATTCCACCCTACTGATGTGACTGTCCCATCAGTTTTGTTAAACAAACTTTGGAAGAAGTATGGTTGGCAAATCATGTTAACTATGTCAACCTGCAAAACAACTTCAGCTGAAGCCATACTTACTTCTGCTTCGTTTCTTGGTTGCCGTTCAAAGGAGAGAGGGGAGAACATGGGGGGTGGATTCAGGAATGTGGTGCCTCAGCCAGCAGCCCTAACATCTACCCGCTGGCGTGAGAACCAAATCAACATACACCTGTTGAAGTTGATGTGGACCGATTGGCCCATGTGAGAGACAAAGAGGGGTGGAGGGGTCTTATTCATTAAACTATCCCTTAGCACAGGAATAATTTAGAGCTAACATCATCTTTCTAAGTGCCGATATGATGTACTCAATAAAATATCTCTTGAACCTGAACAAAGTGTCAGAGTCTCTGACTTTCCTGAGTTCATTACTCGGAATGATGACAAACTGATGATAAGAATAGGGAAGGAAAGAATCCAAACATCCATAACTTCAACCATCTTTCTTTCATGTCATTTTTCTTCAAATTCTTGGAAAACTGTAGCTGTGAGACAAGGAATATAGTGAGGAATCAGCCTTGCCCCAACAATAACAGTCAAGAAAATGAAGGCCAAGTCATAATCCCACAAATATGCATTTCTAAAGAAGCTGAGGCAACTGGAGGAGAAAAGAACAATTTTTGCTTGCAAAAGCTCCTGAGCTGCCACTATTTCCCTATTTCCAGTTCCCAAGTACTGATGCAGTTGGTATTCTTGGAGCACCAAAAGCATGCCTTGCATTAGAGACACAGTGAAACTCAATAGCACTGTCTCTTTATTAACTCCAAATGAAAATTATAAAGATATTGAATGCATAGTTGTAAGGTGATTAAAAAGGTAGATAGTGCGCAGAAGAAGAAAAAGTGTGGGGGGGATATGTAATTGATATTTATAATGCAAGGTAATTCTAAACTGGAGATGCAAAGAACTCTTTCAGGACAATTAACATAAAATTCAATTCAATTCAAAAGATTGCTTGAAGATTATGAAAATGATGCTTTGGAAGATGTTGGATAGTCCTTTCTTTCAGTGTACTTAATTACAATCATTAACATTAAATTTAAACATTGAAATGAAATTTAATGTGGAGAAAAGCAAGGTTTTACACCTGGGCAGGAACAACCAAATACACATTGGGCAAAACCTAGCTCATAAACAGTAACTGTGAGAGGGACCTAATGGATGATCACTTAAACATGAGCCAGCAGTGTGCGGCAGTATTCAAAGAAGCTAATACGATCCATGGTTGAATAAACAGAGGCATAGAATCAAAATCACATGAAGTATCAGTACCGCTTTATAAAGCCTTAGTATGGCCTGGAACCCCTCACACCTGGAACCCCTCACACCTGGAACCCCTCACACATGCACTCCCCCCATGCATGCACCCCACTCCCCATGCATGCGCCCAACCTGTGCATGTGCCCCACCCCTGTGCATGTGTGGCAGAGACCCAAAGGCCAGCTAGCTGGCGGGAGGCATGCGCGCATGCATGGTGGAGCTGAGCTAAAATGATGGCACATGTGCCCACAGAAAGGGCTCTGCATGCCACAGGTTCACCACCACTAAACTAGGGGGACATGATTGCAATGTTCCAGTATTTGAGAAACTGCCACAAAGAGGAGGTTATGGGTGCTTCATCACTGGAGGTTTTTTAGAATAGGCTTGTCTGAAATGGTGTAGGGCAGGGGTGGGCAAACTTTTTGGCTCGGGGGCCTCATTGACTTTTAAAATTTGACAGACGGGCCGCTACCTGGTGTCGAAATGCCTGTCATTACAAGTCAAAATCAAATGAATGCAATCATTCAATCATTCACATCAAACCTTAATTCTGTACCAATCTTCGGCGGGCCGGATTAAAAAGACCAACGGGCCGGATGTGGCCCTCGGGCCGTAGTTTGCCCACCCCTGGTGTAGGGTCTCCTGCCTGAGCAAGGGGTTGGACTAGAAGACCTCCAAGGTCCCTTCCAGATCTATTCTGATTCTGGTTGTAATTCCTCCCTGTCAGTTATCTTATGAATTATGTTATCTTACAAAAGGGCTTAGTATCCTCTTTTCTCTGTAATCTTCAAAGCAGCCACATCACAAAACTGTTACTTAGCAAAGAGGAAAAAAAATACAAATTCAGAATAACAGAGTTGGAAGGGTCCTTGGAGGTCTTCTAGTCGAATCCTCTTCTCAAGCAGGAAATCAAGGAAAATCCTAGCCATGATTTACCTGATGACCTTCTGAGTTCTATTGTTGTGACATCCTGGGTCTTGTGCTGTAATCTCCTGGGTCATTGGCTGTGTTGTAACATCCTGAGGTTTTGTGGTGTAACCTCCTGAGTTCCGTGATGTGATATCCTGAGCGGGTGGCTGTGATGTGGTGTTCCAGGTTTTGGTTTGGCTCCGAGTTTGAGGCCTGGCTATGTGTTCATGGTGTGTGTCAGTTTGCTTGGTTTGGGGGTTGGGGTATGTGGCAGCTGGTGATGCAGCCGTGGTTTGGTTTCTGAATAGTGGTTGCCTTTTGTCTATGGGGTGGGTTTGGGTTTGAGTCATCACACAGCCCATTACCCAGGTCATTACAACACAGGAGGCTGATAGACACACAGCCAATACCTCAGCCACAGATGTTCTTAAGAAAAAGCCAGCCAATCTGCAAACACCAACTCCATCAACCAATCAAGAAATGACAACACAGCCAACCTCCCCACCAGTATATATAGGGAGACGGCGGCTCCGATCACACTTTGCTCGCAGAAGCACGAAGCCAAAAGCACCAGCCTGAAGATGGTGAGTGGGACCTCATCGAAACATTGCCAAGATGCTCTCAATCTTACACAGGAAAAGACCTGAACACTCCAAGACCTGCATACCTGTACCCATGAAAATCTACGAATATATATATATGGATCTTTGGTTATTTGGGTTTTCTCCCGCATAAAATTGGAAGTATTTTGGCGATGTTTCAATGAAATCTCATTCGTCATCTTCAGGCTTGTGTCTTTGGCTTTGTGCTTCTTGGAGTAATGTGAGCTTGCAGCTGTTTTTTCTTTTAACTGCCTGAAGATGATGAATGAGATTTCGTCGAAACGTCGCCAAAATACTTCCAATTTTACGCGGGAGAAAACCCGAATAACCAAAGATCCACATACAAATACCCGCGAGAACCTCAGAAAACATATATATATATATATATATATATATATATATATATATATATATATATATATATATGCATTCCAACAATTCTTGGAATTGTTCTTTAATAAAACACTAATAAATTATACTGTATATCATAGAAAAAGCATTAGAGAAAGAATAATGTGATGTCACATGACCGGCTCCTTCATTAGTCAGCTGCCTTGAGGTATAGGGGAGGACATATCTTCAGGGTTGAAGAAAAATTGAACTGAACTCCTCCTGCATTTTGAACATGGAATGTGGAGGGTGGGAGGAGGAGGAAATGTGATTTTGTGGTCAATGTCAGAATATTGTCTTGGCCTGTCTCTTATCTGGGGAGACAGACTTTCTCAGTTCCTGCATTCACCCACATTCTCCCTACAGCCTTCAATGGAAACTGAATTTGCTTTATACTCATGGGACAAATTCATGTATGTGTAGCTACTTGAAACATAAATGGTTTCATTTTTTATTGTAGCCTTTTTTATATACAATTTGGTTCACACGATACACTTAGCATGCTTTTCTGGATACAATACATTAAACCAAATAGTCTAGATTAGCAAAACATTGTTAAGACACAAAAAAGAATAAACCAACAAAGGTTAACATATTGTATACATGCAGGTAATGAAACTGAGTTGGTTAGATATGTTGCACAAAGACATCCCAGGTGTACTCTGATCCTTCTGCTTCTGATCTGAGATATAATTTTATACTGGATATAAGACTCATGCAAATATATGAAGTGACAAAGATGACAATAAATTTGTATTGCAGTTGCAATCTTAGCACTCCTCCATAAATGACATAGCAATGCTTTACTCTAGTTTCTAATGGCCTACAAATATCTTATCATTCTTAGAATCAATAGGTTGAGATGTTTACAAAAATCTTACAAGGGTTTTGTAGGAGCTTTTCCAAGGAATTGCGCCACTGCCAAGCTTCTTCTGGGGAAGGCCTGAAAATATTAAAATGAAAATATATAAAATATATAAAAGCATATTCAACAAGATCAACAAGTCAGAAAAGGATTGGTACTGCCTGAACAGTCTTTTATTGAACAATTGCTCTATCTTATTTGTTATTTTACAACCACTTTATAATCTCTTTCACCAGTTCTGTAACTTTTCTTTGCTTTCTCTTATTTCAAACTAATTGTGGTAAAAATATGACCCAGCAACCTCCTTCCTATGTTATACAGTTATAATGTCTTTACAGCCTTAAAGTTGTCCTTAGGTGTTCTGCTTTTAAAATAGTATTCTTCCTTTGACGATAATATGATTTTGCTATACAAATTATTTTGCACACTACATTCCTAGAGGTCATATTAAGCTAGTGCAGAGATACTCCTTTCCCTCCAGTACCTACGCAGTGAACTTCAAAACTTTCGGTGGTATAAAAATCCTTTTTTTTCAAGCCATGTCCACCCTCTGTAGACACCAAGTCTCTGAGTCAATACTCAATTCAGAGACCTGAATAGCAATGGCAGTGGAAGAAGAGTCATGGGATGAAGTAGGAGTGAGTAAATAAGACATTTGTTATTTCACACTGCAACCCCCTTTTGTTTTATGGAAGGACATTAAACCATGACCAAAAGGAGCCCAATTATCAGCTAATATTAGTGAATAATCAGGTTTCCATCAAGTCTTTGAAAAATGGTTGTTAAAGTAGAATGAGTTTTGACAGAGTCGACTCTAAACCTTCGGTCCAGCTATCTATCAAGGTTTACTTTATCTTCTGTATAACCCTATTAAGGTTTTCCCACTTGCTGGTTGAGTTTGATGGAGAATTAGGATTCTCCATCAATTAGAAAGAATTATGGGAATTAGCCAGGGACTTCTCTAATCTCTACTATTTAAGTGCACTGTATTCTGTAAATAAGGACATGATGGTGACATGATGACGAGGGATGGATGAAGGTACCAAATTTTATGGTCATGTAGTTTTCTGATGGCTCAAGGACTGATGAACAACACCTTAACTTGATGATGAGGAAAAGCCTTATTTGGAAGGACTAAACATATATGCAGTTTACATCAGTGGTGGGATTCAATTTTTTTTACTACCGGTTCTGTGGGCGTGACTTGGTTGGGCCTGGCAGGGGAAGGATACTGTAAAATCTCCAGTCAGAGGTGGTATTTGCCAGTTCTCCGAACCACTCAAAATTTCTGCTACTGGTTCTCCAGAACTGGGTCAGAACCTGCTGAATACCACTCTGGTTTACACGGAACGGACGCCAATGACTTGCTAAATCCATCTAATAATGAATGTAAGTCTCATATATCTTTCCAGCTGTAAAAAGCAGTTAGATGATAGACTTTGGATTAGGACTAGACAAAACTAAGAACATATAGATTGCCTCAGGCAGAAGGTTCATGGTCCTATGGCCATTTCAGCAAAATGTACTTTCCTCTGCTGATCAATATGATCAGACATGTCTATTGATTTATTAATGAACAGAAAAACAGCCGGAGAATTGGTATGGCCGAGAAAATTGGTAAGGCCAAATATTAGTCTGCAAAATCTGACTATCTCTTTGAGGTAGTGGAACTTGAAGAAAAGATACAAGGAAATCAGACAGAATAACAAAGTTGGAAGGATCTTGAAAGTCTTCTAGTGCTCAAACAGGAGACCCTTATGGGACGTCTTATGGGGCAAGAGAGAAAGCAGTTTATAGAGGGCTAGAGTGATAGCACTATTTTCGGTTATTCTCCGATACTGAAAGATTTCATATACATTTAAAGTATCATTTGTCATATTCTCCCTTTAACATTTCAGCTTTTGTCAATCCTTTCATCTTTTTTATTTTCAACTCTGTGTTGTCCTACATAAAGCAGAATGGGGCTGAATGGAGGATAATTGCTCTCCACACAGAGAGTATTCTCTCCCCTGAGTATTCTTTCATTTCATTTTTCAAAAACTGAAGTTTGACTTTTTTCCCTGCTTTGGCTGTGACTTTGGTATCTGGTTTTGTCTCTCCCACAGATTTATCATCAGTTCCCACGCTGCTCAAGAAAATGATTGCTTTTGTCTCAAGTGAGTATGCTATGGACTCCCATGACAAAATGGATACTAATTATCCGATTTTACTCAGGCTGTAAGGATTAGAAATTAAAGTATTAAAATAAAGACAAAATAGCAACTACTATAGAAGTCCATACAGACACCAACAAGCCTAGAAGAAAAAAGAGATAACTAGTAAGACATTGACTACTATGGTCCAAAAGACATAGAACTGGGTGTAGATCTGGGACATTCTAGAATCAGGAAACAGAAGTTTGAAGCTGTCATTTCTCTCACCGTAAATTCCATCAGAGTACTTTTATGAAGCACTTTTCATAAGGGATGCATATTTGCTAGAACCGGTTGTTAACATTCTAAGCAGTTCAGAGAACCGGTTGTTAGAAGAAATTACTGGCCTAATCCTGTAAGGAAGGCAGGAAGGAAACATTCTGGTGTTGCTTACAGAAACTGCCTCTCCGTTAACCCTTATTACATTCTTGGCAGGACTAGACTTCCTATCTCAGGAATGTCTCTGGAGTTTTTCCCCCCTCCTTTGCTGGTATTTTGCTTGTGTGGAGTGACCATTCAAAGTTACAATGGCACTGAAAAAAGTGATTTATGACCATTTTTCACACTTATGACTGTTGCAGCATCCCCACAGTCATGAGAGGCTAGGCGAGGAGATGCGTGCCTCGATGATATTGAGTTGGCCACGCCCAGACAATAACATGACCATCAAGCCACGCCCACCAACTAAGCCATGCCCACAGAACCGGTTGTTAAAAAAATTGAATCCCACCCCTGGATGTGTATAAATGAATAAAATTACAGGTCAATTGCTATAGAACTGCAGTCTCACTGGACTGACTGCATACACAAATTTTTCTGCATGATAATGAATAGAAGGTTGCTATTTAAAATCATCTATTCCAGGGGCGTCAAACTGGCAGCCCACGGACTGGATGCATTACGCACAAGCCACCCCCACTCCTGCTCTGCAAAGGGAAAAAAATGTCACGATACATCACCCGATGGCAACCCATGATCTATTCTGTTAAAAAGAGGATAGAATGGGGAAAGTGGCATGCTATGACCTCAGAAGTTAGTGAATGGTTTGGAACATTGTTTTCGTATCACTTAATGAATGGGCTCATTCTCACGTCTCCTATCTACAGGACATAGATGTCCCACTAACCGTTTTTAGAGAGCATAATGTTATAACATCTCCTTCAGTCAGTGGCTTGGCTTGCCCTAATGTTATGGAGCAGATTAAATTCATATGTAGCTCTTCCAGTTTCAAAGTAGTGTTTTGCCTCTTCTCCTGACACACGTTTTTGCCATGTGAGCCATGTGCAATGCCTCGGTGATTATGTTGGTGATCATGAAGTCACAAACTGCCATCTGCCCAGCTCTTCTCTGCCTCATTAGATTGCAGCTGCCGTGCTCTTCCCCTCACATTGCTAGGCCTTGCCCTCCATGGCTTAGGTTGCCAGAGAGATCTCACACCTGGCTCCCACAATAGTATCTGCTCATATAATTACACCTAACTGCCATTTGGTAAGAGTGGTGAGGCATTACACATGCTTCTTTTTTATACCCTGGTTTAACAAGTCTTTGAAAGAACTATAGACCTGTTCACATTTGTTTACTTATTTTATTGTTTATCTCAGATAAATGCATTCCACATTTTTGTTGCTTCTTCTCACAAGGATTTTGAGGTGATGTTACTTTCTACTGTTTTATTTCTTACTTAACAGGAGCAGCACCATTTTTGCCTATTCCAATCCATGCTCTGCATCTAGGTGCTGCTAATATTGTCGCTCTCTTGCAGCAATTTTCTCTTTCCTACTTCACTTTATACTTGACTGACAAGTAGGGTATAATTGGCATAGGAGTGCAGAATAAATGAGGGAAGAACCCCCAGGAAATGCCTATAGGTTTCTGCGTATAGCACTTCACTGCACATTGTGAACTGTCAGTCAGACCATGGTTTTTGACCCAGATTTAGTGTTTTTCCCAAAACAGTGTTAGACCTGTGTTAGAAAGACCCTAAAGGGCTGGTCAATAATGGCAGGGAACTTCTCTCCCAGAAACCTCTAGTTGGGCAACTTTAAAAGTGCCCTTAGCCAAGCAAATCTCCTCACCTCATGATACTGAGTGATTAATTAATGTTTTTCTTACAAGCAACATATCCTTTTTTTAATAAACGTAATTGTTTGTTTAACCTCTTCCCTGTTTAATCAACCAGTTTATACTGGGATGAACTACTCTAAAGAAATCATTTCCATTTTACTGGATTAAGCTGGGGGGGGGGGTTATCTTGTCAACAGACAAGATCATTTTTCCTGGCCTTAATCCAGAACTCGTAGGCCTCCCTCAGTTCTGTATAAGTGCAGGAAGTGGTCTGGGGCATGACATTTAAGTTCATGAGAATCAGCTTTCATCAAGTAAAAGTTTCTATCCACGTGGATAAGATCTGCTTAATAGTTCGAGGCAAAGGGCTCTTCAGGCCAAAGAAGGGGCAGAAAATGATCAGGGGAAGAAAGCTCACTCTGTATCTTTTCACTCTGAGCAAAATCAGACCAGACCAAATTATGAAACATTTCTATTTTAAAAAAATAATTAGGCAAAAAAGGCTTATTTCTCAGATTGATGGACTAGAGCAGTCCTGGTCTTCCTTTTCCTCCCCAATGAGAAACCAAACACTTTCCTTCCTGAAGACCCATGGAGAACCCGCCTCACCACATCTGTTTCCATTGCCATGACAAGGAAATTATGATGTTCAAAACAGCCCATAAACCAACAGCCTAATTTGTTCCAAATGGCTCTGAAAAGAGTGCACGATCTACCTAATTTGTCTGTAGTAGAGGTTAAAATTAAGCTGCTATCAACTGTGTCAGTCATCATACAATCTTTAGATCAGCCTGACTGCTGAGTTTTTTTTCTTTTTTTACAGCCTAATTGGAAACAGATTCAGTGACAATCAGCCATGAGAGGTTCCCCCTTGTGCATTAAGGCCACTTTTCCCCTTAATAGCATCAATGCTACTGGTGTTCATTTTGTTCCAGTTCCTGGAACTACTTTGTCTTTGGTACAAATGGGAGACTGCTTTCTCACAGATTAAAATGACAGTGATTAATGTTGGCAATTAGCCTTTGGCAGCGGCAGCAGCAACGGCAAGTTTCTTGAAGTCCACAGATAAACACAAATGGAGCCATTTTTTTCTAATGGTCTCATATCAATGTATCACTACCATTTAACACTGTTTTCATCCATATACCTCTTCCTAAATTTGCCTGCTTCCAATCTGGTCGAACAATAATGATATAAAACCTTCTAAAGGGACTAATTGTATCAGTTTGTTGTAGCAAAGAAAATAAATATATAAAAAAGACAAACAATCTGAGGGTCTTAACAGCACCTTAAATATTAACACATTAATCAACACACAGCAGGGATGGAAGATTTTAAAGCTTTCAACATCTGACAAGGAAACCCTCAGGAAAAAAAAAACCTTAGTATTTTCTATAATTAACTTACAAAGCAATTTTGCCTTTTTGTATGCCTTTCTCCTTTCTTCCCTTTATCTTTTCTGCACTCCCTACAAAGTAACTGTGATTGTATTCCAACTACTGATGAAACGAATGGATTTGGATCATAAGGAATCACAAGTTTCTTCATTAGTAAAGCCAATCTTCTTGATACCATTAGTTTCAAACATACTAGAATTATGAGACAAGCACAGAAATATTTTAAAGGCTGATCTGATTTCGCCTTTTCCAAAAGGAAAAATGTATCTTGTCCCATGTATCGTGGAAATAAATTCATTATCAAATGCTTGTTTAAAATCTCTGCTGAGTTTTGTCTAATTTATCCACCAGTGGAAGCAGTGAAATGTGATTTCCTTTTCTAAGGCATGGTGAATGTTGTAAGAATCAGTGGAATATAACAATTCCAGGTAGTCTTCCACTTACGGCCACAACTGAGCCCAAAACTTCTGTTGCTAAATGAATCAGCTGTTAAGTGAGTTTTGCCCCATTTTACAACCTGCCTTGCCACAGTTGTTAAGTGAATCACCACAGTTGTGAAGTTAGTAACACCGTTGTGAAGCAAATCCGGCTCCCCACGGACTTCGCTTGTCGCAAGGTCGTAAAAGGTAATCACAACCTCAGGATACTACAACTGTCATAAATATGAGTCGGTTGTCAAGTGCCCAAATTTTGATCATATGACCACAGAGATATTGCAACAGTTGTGTGAAAAATAGCCATATGTCACCTTTTTCAGTGTCATCGTAACTTTGAACGGTCACTGAATGAATTGTTGTAAGTCGAGGACTACCTATGCTTTGCATTTAAACAGTAGTCTTATAGAATTGGACATGGCAACACTTTTCCCATCTAGCTGCATGTCAGGAAAAGTTCCACATGTTACATTTATGTCAGACTGCTGTGATGAGCGAAGCCAACAACAAGTGGGGCATTTGCACCCATTTCCTGTGAGCATCATCTGAGAATGTTGTGAATAAATATCCACAGTAAGGATATCTTACTTCCTTAACCCCAGATCTCATACTGTAAGTTTGAAGAATCTAAGCCACCTTTGCCTTATCATATATATTTTGCGATGGTAGTAAAATGTTGATTCTTCCACCAAGTTATCACTCTGAGTGTACTGTAGTGAAAGGTGATTGGCTGACCTTCATAATCCAGAACCACAATAGACTGGTAAATAGACTAATGATAATTATATACCTACTTCTGAACCTTTGCCGGCTTCTCTGGGTAAGGGATAATCAGGTCAATAGATGAGTCTGGCTTCTGGAGGAGCGTGCCCAATTTTGTCTTGATTTCTTTGGCTCTGGAGAGAAAAATTATGAAAGGATACATAAGCATACAGTAGTTTCCACTAAATGCAAGATTGAAAAAGATGCTCCATTTGAACATCAGGGCATTCTACTGGAAAGCTATGAGATCCAAATATGTTACATTCTTTCTACATACTGAAAATAGCACAGGATGTTCAATTAAGATATCCTGATTAAACTTCAGATAACCTGGTATCTCTAGATGGTTTGACCACAGCCTCCTGTCATTCCCAGTCAGTAGAGTTACTGTCATCCTATTTCACTTAATTTCAGCTGAAGTCATTAATTATTAAAATAATATTTTTCCTACTTATCTCTCACTCATTTGGAATGAATGGCAGAAGAGTTAGAATACATTGTGCAATAATTCTCCGCCACAGAGGCTCTTATATTTTTTAAGGGGATGGCAGTTGGGTATTTGCTATTATAACTGTATGCTGGTTTTAATATTTATTTGCTTAATAAACAAATTTATATGGTTGCCCAACTCCACATGGTTACTCTGAGAGGCTTACAACAGCCACAGTACAACAACCCATAGTATAAACCTGTTACCCACCCACTCTCAAGCAACCAACACAATAAAACCAATTACTTGACTGGCTCTGTATCAACTTGATATCCCCTAGACCACGATAAATCAAACTACCAAAGTCCAGGACTGCCTGAGCAGGGCTTGCAGGGCAAGAGACAGAACTGAGGAAGGCTTAGCCATCCCATCCTTGTTTGCCATCTTCAGTTGCCCTATGAAGCTTGGAGGAATGGACAGGCCAGGAAATATAAAGAAACAGCAATCTTATAGGAGTCTCTTATGGTGGGCGATCTGTTAAGATTTTGCTTTTCTACTGTAGCAACAAGAAAAGAGGATTAATCTTCAACTATATCTCTTCCATGTTTGCAAAATATGATTAATAACTTGCAAAAGATATTATTTAGGCCAAAACAACCCCAGGAGAGTTTGAGGCTAGCTCTCTCTACCACTCCCTCCTATTGGTTTTTGGTGTTCACATGCCTTTTTTTTTTTACTTAAAAGTAACTCAAAGCACTAATGATTCAGTTAGTGTTAATGAAGCCTATTGATTATCAGGACAAAGCTTGATTGGTGACACATGAAATTAAATATATTTATCTGTTTGTACAATGTTCGTGGAATACATAAAGTTATGATTTGCTTAACCATAGTTTGTAGACTAGGCCATAATTCTTTGACTTCATACAAAATGCTAAGTTGTAAGATTTGGATTGCCACTTGGAATCACAACCTTATATTAATATTAAGTAGAAAAAAATTAAGGTTATATTACAGCCTGAATTCAGTGCTGGCTTTAATGGAACCCAGCTTTACAGTACTTCCAGAGAGACAATTACATCTATGTATTCTCTGGATTCTTTTTCTCTACGATGGATCATCTCTGAGAAAAAAAAACTTATGGAAAATGTGATGGCGGAGAAGGCACAAGTACTGTAGGCATTTAAGGAAGTGTAAATCATTGTACATGGGTGCAAGATAATTCATGTCATTTGTGTGATGGCAACAGCTTACACATGATGATGCCTGGCTAGGAGATCTCTAAAGTCTACTAACTCTATGCTTCTATGCCATTGTAACTTGTACCAGATATCTAGAATCTGAAACTCATAATATAGTATGAATAAGGTAGAAGGATTGCACAATACCAATCTTGCCAGGTATCTGTTATAAAATTGTCTTATAAATAGTCCTTATAAACCCCAAGTCTGCCAGGGATCTGTTCTGCTCTTGTATGCCATGAACCAAATTAAGAGCCCTCCCTTTAAACAGCAGGTGTTTAAATTAAAAGCAAGCACAAAAATTATTCCCGTAAAATGCCTTGGTTGAGCTCTTTATTTCATCTCAAGTGTCATCCTCATTCACACCCTTTCATTATTTTGCATCCAAGGGCTGACAAAAGTGTCAGCTGTGCTGCTGAAAGGAGGCACAGCACCTCTGAACAAGGAAGCTCCTTAGAATCTTCTGGCAAGTTAGCAGCAGCGGAACCCAAAGCTTTGGTACTCAGTATGCAGTCTCAGGGAAATTTGTTCTCACGCCTAAAAAAAATTATTTTCATGCTAATTTAGTTGTTAGAACTCTTGCAAAGAAATTCTGAATCATTTGTTAGTTTACCCCTCATATTTCATAATGCTTTCAATTTTAAAGCTTAGTTGTAAAATACACAGTGGCTTTAAAGGTAAAGAATAGTCCATCCAATAACAAGTGAATCAATCGATCATACAGGCAACATGTTTTTTTTCTTCCTCAGGCATTTCAAAGATAAATCATCAAAGGATGTAACGTCTAATGGAGTCTTTGAAAGTCTCTTGATGTCATTAATTATCAGTCTTTTAAGTTGCTTTAATTTCTATGTCCATAGGCAGGAAATCTCAGAGTTTTTGAGATGTTATCCTTTTGACTGTTCTTCTGATCTTGACATGAAAGCTTTACTCATCTATCTCTTTGGAGGATGTCAGCGCATACTAAGGCCATTTTCCTAATCAGTTGTTCCAAGAAATCTAAGAGCCTTCTTCATAGGCCAAAGGGTGGCTAAATCCCTATGCTCCTTGTTGACCGAAGGGTCTTTGTGAGTAATGACACTCTTCTTAAAACAGCACAGAGTGTATTCAATAGTAATTATACCTTATGTCTTGCACATACACATACCTGAAAATAATTAAGTTTACATGCTTTAGATATTCACAGATTTAAAAAAAACAATTTTGTGCCCATTTTGGTTAGATATTTTGGTAATACTGGGTCTCACCCCAGTTGGAGGTCCTAAAGATAATACAATTTTTTAAAAAATCTAATTTTATATATTAAAGAGGATTAAAATAAGGCAATTACCTTTTTAGGTGCTAATTTCCCATTTATTCCTTATGGATAAAAGAATATAAACTCATATACATACAGATCAGGGCTGTCATTAGACATACTGAAATGATAACCTGGAAAGGCAAATATTGAGAGGATGGGGATGAATGGAACAGACTGGAGGAGGCTATGAGTGGGGGGCATTCTGTGCCCAATAATTAGCCTTTTTAATCCTTATTCTGACTTCTGTAGAATTTTGTTATCCCTCTTAGCTTTGTGCCCTCAGCAAAGACATTGAAAAGTTCTCTCTCTCTCCCTCTCTCTCTGCCTCCCTCTCTCTCTCCATCTCTCCCTCTCCCTCTCTTCATCCTAAGTGCTTCCACTTGGGGTGGGGGGCTCTCCAGATTGATACAGATCCTTTAATGTATAACTGTTGAGTAGGCTGCTTAAACACTGAAGCATCTAGCAGGTTAGGGTTATTCTGTAAGGGGAGGACGTCATCAAATGCATTGCTGAAATCATTGTACACTTCACTATAAACTCTGGCAATGTGAGAACTAGTCTCCATATAGATTTATTTCTCATTTTGGATTTAAAAGCAATAGCAGTTTAACATTTAATGTTAAAAGTTTAACATTTTAATATAGTTGTCCCGTGTCAAAAGCATATGGATGGGAGAATTAGATTTCCTATCCCAATGGTACCAGTGTTCATTTCAAAAAAAGAAGTTCAGGTAATGTTAATAATGAAGCATTAATCGTATTCCTTATTACCGTCCTGAAATTGGTTTTAAGAAACCTACCCATGGGTGATCACCAAAGTCAAGAATCAAATAATGCAGATCCAAGTTAAGAAGTAAAGGACAATACCACATATGCATTAATGGATATGAACATTGCATGTTCTATTTCTTTCTCTGGAACAGCAGATAGGGCAAACTTTTCATTGCAAAGCAACATTGCCCTGAGATTACCAAAGATGTGACAAAACATGTCATCAGACATTAAAAATTAAAAGATAAATAAAATAAAGCAACTGGCAAAAAATATAAGAGAACAATTAAATGACTTTGCTTTTCCACTATCAATCAATGGAATCTCATTTTGTATCAGAATCCACTCAGAGAAGAATGTCTGCAAAAATTAACTGGCCATCACACAAACACTCACACTCAGAAATAAAAAGCTACTCTTAATCTAGGGAAGTTTGACATGTATATTTGCACCCTTTTGATTCCCAGATATACTTTCAGGAACCCTATATGGAATAATGCAAAAATAATTAGGATGGCTAAAAAAACTGCCTTCCTCCACATAACCTTCTATGAAAAAAAAATATTCCTGAATCCAAATTGCTCATAGACAGTAGTAACATCTTAGAAAGAGAAACACATACAGGAAGAAGATCCAGAATCTACAGATTCTAACAGCCTTAAAACAAAGTTATTCAAGTGCTTCCTTTACTCCCGCCTTATGCTGGGTCATTGGGATAAGTAACAGGCTACTGTCAAGTATTTATACCAGTTTTTGGTTCCTTTCAGGCTAATTAAAAGTGCTGGTAAAAAGTTTTTGAGGAGGGTGGACTCTTCATCATATATAATGTTTTATTCTTAAGATCCTGTTCTTTTTTATTTTATTCCATAATTTTATCATAGTGTTTATTTATCAGGGTCTAAGCTACCAATTTCTTTTCCTTTCTTATCTAATCACTAGAAATACAAAGATTGCACTTAAACCTGCTTTTCTTTTCTTTTAGTTTTAGTTCTTTAAGTGCATTAATGCAAAACAAGTTATGAAACTTAAAATTAGTAAACTCATTAACATTGGATGTGGGTTATATATTTTTTCAAATTATAAACTGATTGTGATTTGCTGGAATATTTCCACAAATAAATAGATTAATCCCAATACCATGATAGAATTCTGCTATTTTATGATAGTTAGAAAATAAGTAGCAGCACTTGAAGACAATGTCCTTACCTGCATTTTAAATTTAAGTATAATTTTATCCTTCTTTATAATAGGTATAAGGGTTATAGACTGTTTAAATGAATGAGTTAAATGAGTGGGTCTGTGGGCGAGTGAATGAAAGCTCAAAACATGATTTTGTTTTTTTTCATTGTATTCAATAATGGATGGAAACATAAATCAGTGACTTATGATCCCTGAAAAACCTTTTGAACAATGGTAGAATGATGATGATTCAATTGTCATAAGACATTTATCTCGGTAGCCTTCTGCTTACATCTTGGGTTTTAACATGAAGCTGGGAAGAAAGTAATTAAAAGAATGAGAAAAAGCCAAACAAAAGATGACTAGAATTGTTCATGTAAGACTATCTGTCATCATATTCTTGTGAAATAGTGTCTCTGTGTGTGAGATAAAGAGTTTAAAAGTGCATCATATCTTTAACTGAGAATCAATCTTTCCCTTGTTCACAATTTTCTTTTCGAAAGCGTTTTTACATTTTCACTGAAGAAAAAAAGCCTTTTAATTATGCTAGTTTGGATGAGAAATTCATATTACTTAAACCATGCTCTGCAACACATCGTTCCACCACCCACAGTAGATTTAACAATATTTTGAGCGAAGTTGGCTCCTCATTCTTTAACTGTGTCTTAACATACCTAATCTTTTTTTAGGGCTATGTCCCCAAATGTAATTTACCTTTCTGATTTCAAGCCTAATGAGGAATCAATGCCATCAGCTTGATCAGTCCACTTGCTTAATTCCTCCAAAACCAAATGAGAACAAAACTTCCCAACATTTCTTTTAAGCAGGCATATCTTCTGCAGGGATGGGCTAAGCTTTTATTCTGCCAGATTGCTGCAGTGCCTTTGCTCTCTCCATCACCCAAATCATTTTCCTCTTTGATAGGCATAAACTCTTTCTCTCACCTCTCCAGACATGTGTGGGGTAAGGCTGCTAATCCTTTGCACATCTTGCCGTGTGGTTATTGTGTCCTTGAAGACAACCAGTTGGTGTGGGAGCAGAAGAACTCGGCTGTCTGTAACACAGCCTGCCTTTTTTCAGAAAGATATAAAGCGGCTGCCTTGAATCCCAGCCAGCCCCTTTGGCCAATCACATTCAGTCTAGTGTTTCTGAGCGGAGGAGCAGAGATGAGAAAGTCACAGATCAATCACCAGGCAGAGAGATGGGACTTTTCCCTTCCCTCATTTAGTGTTCCGCAAATTCATTACTGCTCACTCAAAATCACTTAAAGCGGGCTTGCCCCCTCTTTCATCCTGTCAAGATTGTTTTCTTCTATTTGCGGAACAAAATTAATGGAATAAATGGAATTTGCCCCAAGGGGCTAATTGTGATCATAGTCATGGATATTGTAAATGCACATTTCTAACTGTGAAACGGTGGTGCTAGTGTAACTAGCTCAGGGCAATGTGCTATCTACTTGGGGGCACCGAGAGAAGAAACAAACTCAAGTCATTTTCATATATAGCTATCTATATTAGGTGCCTAATAAAGTAACTATCAGGTTTTAGGACTAGAAAAAGTGCAAATGAAAAGTACTGCAAAAAGGACATTGCTGCAGATAAGTAACGAATAGCTTCAGAAGTGCCTGCAGAATATAGTAAAAAAAAAAAAATGAGATGTCTTTTACACACATTATAAAAATGGAGCTTTGATTGCAGTCATTCCCACCATCTTGACTTTTAAACCAAATCTTATGGACATCTTATTTTATTGATGGTATCAGGTCAAAGGGGGTTAGCAGAATTACATCTGTGTAGAAATATAGCCATTTTGATATGATTGACAACTGAAGCCTCCCTAAGTGGTTGTAATGATTTAAAAGTTAACTGTTATTTATTTCAATGTAGCATATGGAAGATCAAGGACTTAAAACCACTGTGATATTTAATAGCTAAGATGGGATTTGAACTGGGCACTTCCACATTTTATTAGCCATGGATTTTATCAGGGTAAATGGACTTAGGCAAGACACAAACTTCCCACTTCAAATCCTTTTGCAATTGTAAATGTATACTTTGAATTAAGACATGCTGAGAAATATGAAACTTTATTTCTAAGTAAACATGCACAGGACTGGGCAGTAAGGCCTCAGGACGCATTTCCACTAACATCAACAGCAATTGTTTGGAAATGAACTTGTTTACCACAGTTCTGAAAGACGTATTTTTATGAGCAGTCTGATCTTTTGCTCCTGAAAGGGAATACTTCTGTTTCACTGATTGAAGAGAGGTTTGATGAACAATCTGTGCCGGGAGTTTCTTTTTAGCATCTGAGTAAGGAAGAATCATGCTTACAGGAATGAACCAACCATTAGGTTCATTTATTAGATATGTTTACACTCTCTTCCTTTAGAATGGACAACAAATCCCCTTCCTGGTATCTGTTCTAAGTCTCTTTTTAACATGGAACACATTCAAATTATTCTGTATGGCAGTAATTCCACCCTGAGTTAAAAAAAATCAATAAATCCTATTCTCACTTTCACTGAAGAAAATGAGCAACAGATTGAAAATGAACGTTCTCCTGCTGTAATCTTCAGAGCTTTATAAAATCAAATAGCTTTTTTGATTTATTTCTATAATTTATTTGTTAGAAATAAGTGGGATTTTTTCTTTCCACTGGAGGCATCCTCTATAGAAAGATTTGCAGAACAAAAAATGTGCTTCCTATGGGTTTTGTGGAGTTATCATTTACAGCTAAGAAACTTTTCACCATTCTATTTGGCAAACTTTACTTAATTTAGATATATTGCAAAATACTGCTAAATCACAAATTAAAATATATATATATATTCTTTATTTCTGCTGTAAAACATGTAGGGAGGGTGAAGGAGATTCACTTTTAAAGAGTCATGAATCTACTGAAGGATAACTAAGCAAACAACTTGGTTATTTTTTACTTTCAAAGAGGCAAAATATACTTAAAAAGATAATCAGAGTGATAATTATATATTTGAAGATCTTTTCACAGATTTAAATATTGCTGTTTTAGTAAAGAAAAATAATTTTATAATAAAAACTGTCTTTCAATAAAGTTTATTTTAATGAACTAGGACTTCTCCAATGTGTAATAAACCCAAATTATACAAAAGAAATACCAACAAAACAAAGTTTTGTGTAGTATATTTACAATGTATATGTTTATAAAAACACTTCAAAGCAGTAGCTTAGATGGCCCAGATATCTGGTGACTGTAGGAACTCTATCTTTGTACTGCAGATATTGTCAGAGCATCAACAACATATTAAGGATGGAATGAAAACAAAAATGTGGTTTTTGCTGCAACAGAAAGATTTTCAGAATTAATGCTGTTCAGTTTGTTGAAAGTTATCAGCAAAGTAGTCGATATTCTAAGCAATCAGGGCTTCGTTTTACGCATATATGCTCTTCAGTTTGAGTCACATTTCCATGGGAAACATGTTCACACTTCTACTTGGAAGTGCTCTTAAAATAATGCAAATGTTGAGATTCTAAAGTCAAAATGCCAACTGGCACATTGAAGATATATTAGTCCAGCCTAAAGTCAGCACGGGAAACAGTCTTAGCACATTAGGAGGCCTTCCTTCGCAGCCAACCTCTGCCGATGGATTTTGTCTTGCTGAAGCTCCTCATGGTTTGGATGCCAGAGTTTCAGGATGATCCTTTCAATGTTGAGGGCATAGACAGTATGGGCAGGGACCACTTCCCGGTGGATCTGCAAGTACACAAGTGAAAATCTTACTGACCACAAATTATTATCTTAAATGTCCACATTCACAAATTGAAACTAGTGAAACACATGTTCACAGATATATATAATCTTGCAATAAACAGATGGGGGGGGGGGGAGAGAGAGACGAGCATTTTGGATATCTAACATTAACACAGAAACATTTCAAGCAAATCAATGATCCTTTCTCACATGCTTCCTCAGGCTCACCTGTTCTGAATGACATATTGGTTAACTGCCCAGAGGAACAAGAGGGAAATTATTTAAAGCACATAAAACAAGCATCAGAGGCTGCAGTGGAATAATTGTATAATTGATAGGCAATGATACAGGGGGAGATCAGTGCTAGAATTTTCCACCAGGACATACTAGCCTCAAATAATCATTTACTTTATTGGGCCAAACAATATACAGTATTAAACCAGTCTTTCAAGAAAGTTTTTTATTTGTACCTCTGGATACAAATGGAGTTCACTGGTACAGATATATATTTTACACCATTTTGAGGAGCAGAGTGTGGTGGATGCTCTCCACAGCATGACTTAATTTTGCAAGAAATGCATCCACATTTCTTTACAGTTCATAATTTGGATTTAACTGTAATACATTACTTATAGCATGCAGACATTATACAATATGAATATCAGTATAACTAGGTTTGAAAATTTCTCTTTCAATAAAACCTGAAATTAATAAAATAAAATAAAAAACTAGCTAAGTGAAGATATCAGAAGTATCTGGAGTATCAATTAGTTATAACTGTTTTTAAAGTGTGATTTACAAATTTTGAATTGAATTATGTTATTATTCAAATGGTTATGTTAATATTCAGACAATTCACTGTGTTATGTGCTTGTAAGGCACTATGAATCTAAAAGGCGTGGCAGCATACACATTTAAGAACAAATAGAAAACAAGCTATTTATTTTCTTTCTGGGTATTCTTTCCTTTCCGCCCATTACGTGGTAGTAAGTTCTTTGTGAAACAACATCTCCATTAGGAGAACAGCAACTGAAATTAAAATACGTGATCTGGGAACGTTACCTGCAGTGCCTCAAAGAGATCGTACATGTTCACTGGGGGCAGGGTTGCTGGTGAGGTGTCCCCGGAACAGGCCAAAAGGAGGGCTGCTTGTTGCTCTGCATCGTCAGGTGGTAGATGGCAAGCAACGTTTTGACCAGGTGGGGGGGCCAAGCAGGTAGGAGGGCTAGGAAAAAGAACAAATTGGAGAAAAATGGGTTTGGCATCCTATTAGAGCAGGGGTCTCCAACCTTGGCAACTTTAAGCCTGGCGGACTTCAACTCCCAGAATTCCCCAGCCAGCAAAGCTGGCTGGGGAATTCTGGGAGTTGAAGTCCGCCAGGCTTAAAATTGCCAAGGTTGGAGACCCCTGTATTAGAGGAAAAGGAAGAGGAATTATAGTCAATGAATCTGCTGGCTCAGATTCTGTCCTGAATAACAAAAGTGTCAATTGACACAATAGCCCCCACCAGGCCACTTGAAGATCATGTGCAACCTCTGATATGAATAATGTTGTATAACATTAGGCTGCGTTTGGATAAAAATGAAACTGGCATTTAGTAGTAGCTTTTTTCAACAAAACTTAAAGCAAATATTATGCATACTATGAAAATATTTATTGATTTATTTGTTTGCTATCATTTATAGTTCATCCAGCTCCAGAGATTTCTGAGAGATACTAATACAATTATCAAAATGGTACAAAGATTATGAGATAATCCATGCTGTGGTTCTTTATCCATGCACAAAACCAAATCATCTAAAATAAACAATACAAAAATTAAAAGGTAGGAAATATAATACTGAACTCAGGAGGGAAACTTTTCTTCAAGATTATATAATTCAAAGGCAATAGCACCTAGACTTATGTACCATTTCACAGTGCTCTTACAGCTGTCTCTAAGTGGTTTACAGAGTCAGCATATTGCCCCCAACAATCTGGGTTCTCATTTTACCGACGTCGGAAGGATGGAAGGCTGAGTCAACTTGAGCCTGATGAAATTCGAACTCCAGGCTGTAGGCAGAGTTATCCTGAAATACTATATTCTAACCACTGCGCCACCATGGCTCTTTATGATATGTAAAGTGTTATAATAGTTGGTCCAAGAGCACAGGTGTGTGTGTGTGTGTGTGTGTGTGTGTGTGTGTGTGTAGTATATAAAAATACTGCAGCAGAATTAGATTTAAATTTATGGTTCATCTTTCATATTACTTGCATGACCATTTGTTTCTCAATAAATACAGTCCCAGAAATTTTGTTGTTTAGTAATGCCTAGATTGGCCAATTTCTCATTAAAAAAAAAAATCCTCTAAATATTAGGACATGTAGGCA